AAAATGTTCCTCATGTCCCCAACTAACCGGGGATGGGGCCTGGGCATTATTCTCCCTCAAAGACCCCAGGCAGCCGGTGGGCACCGGGCTAGCTAAGCCAGAGTCTCTGCTCCACAGTGCTGAGGTCCCAGTGTGGATTCCTCCCCCCGGATTAAACTATGTCCCCAGCCACGGAGGATGGGGTCCCAGCAGACTTCCCTGACCTCGGGACACAGATCTCTCTCCTGGCTTGGACAGTACAGAGCCAAGCCTCTCTGGACCCCTAAATCCCGTCCGCCTTCCAGCTCATCAGCGCCTCGCTCCGTGCCCATGAAGCCAGACATGGCGGAGCACAGCGGCATCACAACCACACAGTCCAAAGTCTGCTTCTCCTCTCCCTCCTTGGGCCACTTCACTGCTCCCTGTGGCTCTAAATGTCATTTGTAACCTGTCAACTCCCAAACTGAGAGACATGCCCCACCTTCCCCATACTTTATAGCTCCAGATGCACACGAAGGGCCTCCCACACCTTGATGCTCCCCACCCTCCCGTCAAGAGCCCTCGGGCTGGCAGATGGGCAGCAGCTTCTCCGCAGCCCCAGCCCCTCCAGGCTCCAGCCATCTGAGTTCAAGGCCAAGGCTGGTGTTGGCTTCCCTCGCCGTCCACCTCTAACCCACCAGCAAGCCCCATCTCTGGCGCATTCCCAGCCTCTACAATGCCCTGCCCAGCAAGCCCAGGTCCTCCCCCGCCTGGGGGATGTCACCAGCTTCCCATGTCCCTCTTCCCTATGTTTACTCTCTGCGCAGACACCACAGGGTGCCTTAGAAAAGCCACACAGGGGCTGGGGGTGAAGCTCAGTGGTAGAGTGCTTACCTATCTGGGTTTGATTCTTGGCACCACCTAAAAATAAATAAATAAAGTAAAGGTATTGTGAGCCTCTCCAACTCAAAAACAAACCAAAAAAGGACCAAACCGGCTTCATCGGGACATCATTTCTATGCCAAAAAACTGCACCCATTTGAAGTATGTAATTGATATGGTTTTAAAAACATACCCATACCCTCAGCATTGGGCAGACATCACCAGTATGGAATTTCAGAACATGTTATGGCCTCAGAAAGAAACCTTGTACCCATCAGCAGTCTCTCCCCCCCTCCCTCTGCCCGTCCCCCTCCAGCCCCTGGCGACCACTCTCGGCCTGGGCTGGGCACCTCACAAAGCTGAATCTTATAGCCTGTGTCTTAGCGTTGGCTTCTTCACTCAGCATAATGCCGTTGAGGTTTAACCATGCCAACCGCAGGTGTGCCTCCTTCCTCTGAAATGCCAAATAAGGCCCATTGTATAGATAGGTATGCCACATTTTGTTTATTATGTGTCAAAGGAAATTTGGGGGTGGTATGCTTTGGGGCTACTAGAGTTCTTAAAAAAATGTGACACATTGCCCCCCACACACACCTGCTGCTTAAAACCCCACAAGGGTTTAGCATCACATGTAAAGTGAAATTTGTCATCGTGCCTGCAAGATTCTGGATGCCCCAACCTCTGTCACTGAGTCTCTCCACTGTTACTCTCCCACGGTTCATGCTGCCTTCTTCCAGCTTCTTGAACACACCACACCTTTGTCTGTCTCAGGGCCTTTGCACTTGCTGCTGCCTCTTCTCTCCATGGAGGATGCCCCTCCCTCCATTCTTCACATGGATGGGTGGTTCTTTGCATTCAGGTTGCAATGAAAATGTCACCTCCTACCCAAAGTTGTCCACCCCCCGCCTGTGTCCTTCTGAACCAAAGTGCCCTTACTCCCTCACACTAACCAATATCTGAAGTTATCTTGTTGGCATGCTTCTCACCTCCCTCCTCCTGACAGGACACTCAGCTCTAAGAGAGGAGCCTTGTCTTCCTGACTTCATCCCTACTGTGTTCTTGGGGCCTAGAATAGCTCCTGGCACATAGTAGGCTCTCAGTTTATTGTGAGGACCACCCAGTCCAGGCATGCTAAAGCTATTTCTGCCATGGCCCCAGCAACCTCCCTTTCCCAGAGTGACACTTTGCTCCCAAATGCTGGTCTTTTTTGTTGTTGTTGGTGGTGTTTATTTGTTTGTTTGTTTTTGTTTTCTGGTGGGGGTGGGTGGGAGGAACTAAGGATTGAACCCAGGGGCATTTATCCACTGAGCCACATTCTCAGCCTTTTTTATGTTTTATTTTGAAACAGGGTCTCCCTAAGCTGCTTAGGGCCTCACTAGGTTGCTGAGGCTGGCCTTGGACTTTCAGTCCTCCTGTCTCAGCCTCCTGAGCTGCTAGGATTACAGACCTGCACCACCACAGTCGGCTTCCAAGGCTGGTCTTATCATTAGGCACCAAGACGTTAGAGGCTGGGGTTAGGGGAAATCACCCATCTCTCCAGGGTCCCAAACAATAGAAGAGAAACAAAAAAATAGAAAGTCAAATGGCCCTCTGTGTGGTTCACTGACCCTGGGGGAGCTCAATTGGAAAACTGGAGAGCAGCAGCGCCCCCTGCAGGAGAAACGCTCATTCCTGCCTAGTGAGTCCCCCCAGGTAGCCAGAAAGTAGAAGAAAGGGTAGGGTAGGCAGGATGTGTGTGTGTGTGTGTGTGTGTGTGTGTGTGTGAGAGAGAGAGAGAGAGAGAGAGAGAGAGAGAGAGAGAGAGAGAGACAGACAGACAGACAGACAAACAGACACAGAGAGAGCAGGCACTAGAGAGAGGCAGGACCCCACACCTCCTTAATACGGTACAGCCAGGTCAGGGCCTCCCTCTTCCCTGGGTGGGTGGAGTGGTCGGGAGTGTTCACTGCAGCAAGGAGTGTGGGGACCAGAACTTCCTCACCTCCAGGCAGAAGCAGGACAGTGGGAGGAGAGGCCACACCCAGCAGTCTGTAGCACATCCCGTGGCTAAATGTCCCTCTCTTCTGGGGACTCTGCATTGTCTCCAGGACAAAGTCCAGACTTTTGTCAAGGTAGCCAGAGCCCAAGCCTGTCTCTCTGGGCTCTTCTCCCTTCAACTGCCCCAGGTCCCTCTGCTCAAATCCATGGCCCATGTCCTTGCAGCGCCATGGACACTTCATGCCTGTGGACCTCCCTCTGCCTCTGCTCTTCCCGCATGCTGTGACTGGCCACCTCTGGGTCTCCAGCCCGCTGGACCTCTGCTCTGTGCAGCCTCTTCTGAGTCAGTCAGGAGGCCCCATCTCTGCATGCCTCCCTCTTGGGGCACACGACAGGACAAGGGTCACGGTGCCCTCTGACATGTCTGGAGGGGCAGAGGCTGTTTTGTTCTCTGATGGAACCCTGATCCCCAGAAGAGACTGGAGCAGACCCTTAATAAATATGTGTTGGTGGAAGATTGAATGAGTTCCACGGTAACCGCTCTCCTGCTCCAGGAAGGACCTGGAGTCTGAGGCAAGCTCTGCCCCACTGCCAGTGCCCAGAGCTGCTACCTCCCCAGAGTCAGCCAGAGATCCACCTTTTCTCAAAGGCCCACTGACCTGAACCAAGTCTTAAACCTGTCCCCCTCTATGCCTCCTGAACTCTGAGACAACACACACACACACACACACACACACACACACACTCCTGCAAGCCCCAGAAACCCCTCCCTTCAGCCCCAGGCAGCAGAGATCAATGTGGGTATTTGTGTCTTTAACAAAAAGGAAATGTAAAATAAAACTTCCCTCATTTATTTTCCAGGGGAGTTAACTCATTGATCTCCCTCTCCCTCCTAACCTGTTTTGTGCTGTTCCTTTTCCTTCCTGATGAAATAGAATTTGGTTTTCTAACAGCATCTGTAATATGCAGGGTGTCCCCAAACATTAGTAATAAGGAGTTGGAAGTGGCATAGTTGGAATCCTTGGGAAGCCAACACCAGAAGCCAAGCTCTCAGTGGGCCCCTCTGAGGACATGGGGCCAGAACACAGGGCAAGGACAGGTTAGGCTTGCAGCCCTGGAAGGTCCCTGGAAGCCACCCATCCAACAGACAGTGTGGAGTACCTGCCCTGTGCCAGGCCCTGCCGGGTAGGGGGGTGGGGGTGGGGTGGGGGGCTGGGAATGCCGGGCCCTGCCTGCTTGGCAGTCAGGACTGGTTATCACAGAAGGACAGAAGTAGCCATGGTGGCTTCATGCCGTGGACCTCCCTCTGCCTCTGCTCTTCCCACATGCTGTGACTGGCATGTCCATCGACCCCAGCTCAGTCATGTGGGCCATTCCCTGGGATGCCTGGGAGGCAGGATGGCAAGAGATTTGGACTAAGATATAGTACATAGAAGGGGCTTGGAATCCATTAGAACCTTCTGGCTTCCCAGACCTGACAGGCTCACTGGGACTGGAATCTGTAGTGGTCTCCAAGGCGTGCTGTTCCCACCCCTGGCCAAGTGACAGAGCCACCCACCACCTCCCGGGGCCTGAATACAATGGAACAGAGCCTGGCAGGAACCAGGGCTTCTGGGCACTGACAGCCAGGAAAATATTTCCTCCAACTCCCCTGGCCTCCCTTCCCAAGGCCCTCCTCCAAGCATGCCAAGCATTCTCCAGAAAAGTCACTCCTGGGCCACCCAGGTCCTGCAGTGGAGAGGTGCCTGGAAACTCACAGGGCCACCACCCGCCCAGGGCTGCAGTCTGCACATCCACCAGCTGCGGGACAACAGACCTGTCCTTTCCTGGCCTCCCTCCTGCCTGTCCGCAGAGATAAGGTCGACCCCAGGCCCTGGTGGCCCGACGGAGCTGCGGGACGCGTGGGATTCTCCCACCGGGTCCCAGCCCTTTCTCTGTCCCTGTACAAACCTAGGGGCAGCGCAGGCAAAACGGACCCCCGAGACCGGCTCTGGGTTCGAACGGGGGGCGGGGGGGGGGAACATCCAGAAAGGGGGCGGGGCCGCAGGCAGGGGAGGGCGTTTTAGCGCCGTCGCGAGGCCGCGGCCCCGCCCCTCCCCGGCCGGGCCCCGCCCCCTCCGGTCTCGACCCCGCCCCCGCGCGCGGCCCGTTAGAAGGCGCCGGGGCCGCCGCCAGCCGCCGCCATGGGCCGAGCGCGGCCGGGAGAGCGCGAGCCGCCCAGCCCCGGCCCCGCCGCGCCGCCTGAGCCGCCGCGTCGCCGCGCCCGCGCCCTGGCGCTGCTCGGAGCCCTGCTGGCCGCCGCCGTCGCCGCCGCCGCCGCGCGGGCCTGCGCCCTCCTCGCCGAGGCCCAGGCGGCCGCGCGCCAGGTCGCCGGGGACGCGGGCACTGCGCCCGGGGGGAGGGATGGGACCCGGCGCGGGGATGGAGGGAGGACGCGGGGATGGAGGGAGGACGCGGGGATGGAGGGAGGACGCGGGCAGGACGGCGGCTGTGGGCCGCGGAGGGACGGGAGGGACGGGGGTCCGGGCTCAGCCGACTTGGAAGGACTGTGGGGACATGGAGAGACTGGCCAGGGTGAGCCAGGGGCTGGGGCTGGAGCGGGCAGTGGAGAGGAGCGCCCTGGACAGTGACCGCAGACAAAGGCAGAGTGGAGCTGGGACGGAAGGAACCTGGAAGGGGGACGGGGGAGCACAGGGGTGTGGGAAGGGGAGGCAGGAGAGGACTGTGGCAAGAACTGGGTGGAGCAGGACAGAGCCAGATGGAGGGGGTCAGAAAGGTGGGATGGAGGCGGATGCCGATAAAGGCACAGAGTGAAGCAGGGACCAGAGGATCTGGAAAGGGGACCAGGGACTCTGGGCAGTTCAGAGGTGACATTTGAACAAATGGACTGGGAAGTATGGCCAGAACTCTGGAAGAGGTGGCTGGAGCTGCTGCATCAGGAAGCAGCTCCTGTTTGGGAGTAGGGAGATGGGGCATCTAACTGGGGCTCAGCCCAGTGCCTTCCTCCCCAGCAGGAGTCAGCACTGAAAGCCCTGGGGACAGAAGGCCTCTTTCTCTTTTCCTCCCTGGACACTGACGGGGATATGTACATCAGCCCCGAGGAGTTCAAACCCATTGCTGAAAAGCTGACAGGTACCAAAGAGACTGGGGACTGGGTGGAGGGCCACTCATGGTAGCAGCACCTGGAGCCGAAGAACATTGTGGTCTCTGGGGCCCTGGCACTCCTTAGCTCTGGCACTGGCTGCTTTAGCACCCAGCCTGTTGTCCTCATATTTGTTAATAATAGTACTAATTAGCATTTTTTGACCTCCTCCTGGTGCCACTTGTCACTTTTGCACTTCCTGCGGTTTTCTTTTTAAATCTCACAATAGCCTGGAGAGTGGACACTCATGACCCTGACGTCTGTAGTTTGGGAGAGCACTAACAGGTTCACCCACTTGCCCAAGCTAGAAGAGGGAAGAGCTGGGTTAGAACTAGGCCATCTGGCTCCGGGGTCCTGCACCATCGGCTCGCAGGTTTATGATCAGAGATGTATGCCAAGTGACACTTATGCAGCAATCCATAGACGGGAGCTATGACTACTGGCCTAACTCTCTGCCCTGGTGCTGTTAGAGCACCTTGCTATCCATCTTTGTCTAGTTGCAATTAGTGGCTAATTTTTTAAAGATGAGGAGCTGAAACCCTTTTTATCCCCCAGTGGTGCTGAAGATGGAACCCAGGGCCTCGCATTCACTAGGCTAGTGCGTTACCACTGAGCTAGAGAGGATAACACATTCTAATGAATTAAAAAATGTTTGTCCCACAGCTCCACCACTATCCCAAGCTCTGTGTGCATTTCTCTCCAAACTCTTGTGACATTTCTTGAACTTATGATCTTAAGCATCCAGTTGTTACCCAGTTGTTCTCATCTGCTGAGAGCAGGACACAGATGCCAGCTGCTCTCAGGGGTAGGAGTACCAGAACCTTATCGTGGCTTGCTGTGTCTCAGGAATGAGTGGTGGGTGACCTGTGGTCACTGCTAGAAGAGGAAGGTCTGATGAAAATGCAAATTTGCTGTGATGGCTTTGTATGAGTGTCACTCAGGGGCAGGCAGTTCTGCCGTGAACGTGGGCCAGCAGGTCAAAGGCCATCCTTTCTAACTTGGCCTTTACCTCTTAGTCTGCATGTGCTCCTCTGAGCCTCTGCATAGTCACCTGCTTGTCCCTTTTTACAGCCAGAGAGCCACAGTTCCCTTATAATGATATGTTAGCAAAGCTTTCTAGGCTTGGGGGCACTTTTTATTTTTATTTTTCTGCATAAATTTCCATCAGTGGTAAAGAATCCCTTCATTGCCTCTAGGCTATGAGCGCAAAAATAGATGATGTTTTGGGAAATCAAAGAATAAATACATGAATAAACATATGAACTCCAAGCAAGGAATAGAGGCAAACAGTTCTCTGTAGTTGGTAGACTTAAAAGTGTATGTAATTTTCTGCTTTATGCCTTACAATTCTTATAAATTGTCCATAATGAGCAAGTGTTATAATTCAGGAAATAAAACTTTTTATTTAAAAAGGGGGGGGGGGCTATAAAATGCTGAGGGAGTGGTATTTTATTGCTGTGCTGGGGATTGAACCCAGAACCTTGTACAAGACTAGCATGCACTATACCACTAAGCTACACCCCAGACCTGTTTAGTTTTAAGAGAAGGGATCTCGCTGTGTTGCCTAGGCTGGCCCCAAATCCTGAACTCAAATGACCCTTCTGCCTCAGCCTTCTGAATACCCAGGACTGCACCACCATGTCCAGCTAACTTGAGTGTTATTCTTAGTCATTATTTTTAATATCTAAAATGATTGGTAGCGCACTTGCCTTGCATGTGTGAGGCACTGGGTTCAATTCTGAGCACCACATAAAAATAAATAAAAATAAAGATCTATCAACAACTAAAAAAAAATTAAAATTAAAAATGACTGAGAAAGGAAGGCAGGTGATGACCCTGCATTTTCTTACTGCTCTTTTCCTCTGAAGTTTCCAGACTTTTATTTAGAAAGTTTTACCACGTTGATTCACAAATACAGAAATGACAGTGATTCTCCCCCAGCCCCTCTGTCCCCAAGTGCCTAGCACCTCACTGCATCCCCAGCCCAACGACGGTGATTCTTTAGAACAGGGATTTGCATCTGGAGCAGCTGGGAGTGCTAATTAAGAGGGCAGTTTACTGACTCTAGCCCCTTAAGGTTCTGACTCAGTAGGTCCAAGGTGAGTTCCAGGCACCTGCTTTGAAGAGGCTTCTGGGTGATTCTGATGGCCTCTGGTTGAGAGCTGCTTTTGATGCATCTATTCAGCCTGCCTGCAGGTCACAGAAGTCACCAAATGCCAGGCATCTTCTCTGTACCTTGAACCTGCCCTGGGAGAGCAGCCAGGACAGCCTCACCCTGCTTCATGGTCCTAGGCCAGTGTCACCCCTCCTGAAACCAGCTTCCTTTCTCCCTTAAGCCCTCTTCATCGCTGCCTCTGCACCAAAGGATGGCAAACTTGGCAGGTGTCTGAGCGGAAGATCTGAGGATCAAGCCCGGCCCCAGCCAGGCCAGCCCTCCTTATACAGAGGGCAGCCAGTTCACCCAGACAAGCAGGGAGAAGAGCGTCTGCCCACTCTTTCCAGTGCTCTTGCCATGACACCAGCCACAGCCAGATTCAATTTCTTGCCTTTGTTCTTTACTCTGATTTTCTTGACTGAGTCCCTCACAGTCCCCCAAGACACAGAAGAGGGTCATGAGTAATCAATCACAGGTTGAGGGTAAAACAGGCTTGGTTTGAATCCTGACTCCCCGGCCACCTTGGCTTTGCAATCCTGGGGAAGTGGCTTGGCCTCTCTGAGCCTCCACTTTCTCCTTTGTAAAATGGAGCTGGTAATCCGTGGTTCTCCGCCTCTGGTGGTGGTTAACTGTTATCCCTGCTCCGAGCCTTACTCCCCTTGCCACCAGCTGAGGGGCATCCTGAAAGAAGTGGGGCCCTGCAGCCTTAAGGGCAGGACCTCTCCAGCCATCTGTGTCTCACAGGGTCAACACCTGCCGCCAGCTACGAGGAGGAGGAGCTGATCCCTGACCCCACGGAGGAGACGCTCACCATAGAAGCCCGATTCCAGCCTCTGCTCCCAGAGACCATGACCAAGAGCAAAGATGGTTTCCTAGGGGTGAGTCGGGACACTGGTGGCCCATGAGCAGGATGACAGATAGCAGGACCACCTGTGCGGGCCCCCTCCTGAGGAACTCTGTCCTCCTTTCTTCTTCCTGTCAGCTCCCACTGTGCCAGGCCCCGAGGGTCCTGGAGTGTCACGTTGTCCCGGCACTCTGGTTGAGGAGTAGGAGAGAGAAGCGTGAGCCCCCACCCCAGGTGGGGGAGTCTGGGATGGCTCTCTGGGAGGAGTGACGCTGGGCAGAGGCGACCATGTGGGCAGGAGTGTTCACGGCCAGTGCAGAGGAGCCTTGGTGATGCAGCTGCCCGCTGACCATGGTGACCCTCTGCACAGCCGTCTTTCCCCAGGTCTCCTAATGGGCACCAGGCCTGTTCTCTGTTGATCACCCATGAAGTAGACCTGGGTTCAGTCCCTAGCAGGGGCTGTAGGGAAAGGTGGGCCCCCTGAGGAGGAGAAGGTAGGAGGTGGCAGATGCTAGCACATGGGCCAAAGCCACCGCCACCCTGCCTGCCCCCCACCTCTCCCACCGGCTCCTCTCACCATTCTGCAATCTAGCCTGCCCTCCCTCCCTGCCTCCCTCCTTCCCTCCTTCCCTCCCTCCCTGCCTCCCTCCTTCCCTCCCTCCCTCCCTCCCTCCTTCCTTCCTTCCTCCCTCCTTCCTTCCTTCCCTCCCTCCTTCCCTCCCTCCTTCCAAATCGCTGGCCTTTCTTTCAGCTGCGAGCCTTCTCACATGCAGTTCTCTGTGCCCAGGTTTTGCCTGCTTAGCTGAAATGTCATCTTAGCATGAACAGGAGTTGAAGGCAGAAAGTGCCAGGCCAGTCAGTCGAGGCCAGAGGGCTCGAGTGGCTGGACCTGAGGCGCATGCAGGGCATCCCAGTCAGTGGTGCCCGGAGGGAAGCTGCTGCCAAGGGCCTCGCTGCCTTCTTGGCCTTCACTCTGAGGAGCAGAACACCCCAGCCCATCCTGGAATAGGAGAGCCCTCATCAGATGCACCTGTCCCAGCTGGGCACGTGGGTGGCACAGGGAGGGTCGAGCAGCCACTTCCTGGATGGGGAGAGCAAGGGCAGCCGGAGGACGGAGGACAGTGGGAAGGAAGAAAGGGCAGGGTGTGGCTTCCGATGGAGCATGAGGGGGAGGACTCGGTGACTCAGGCTGCTGGCTGGGGACCAGTGTGTGGTGGGCCACTTGCCCAGGCAAGAACTATCAGAGTGGAGATTTTGGACACATTGAAGTTGAGGTGCCCAGGGATGTCCTGGAAGTCCAGGAAGTGGCTGGAGATCAGGTTGGACCTTCCACGGGGGATCTGGGGTAGAGGTAGGACTGGCAGGGATGGGGCCAGTCTGGTAAATAAGTTCCCCAGAGTGGTGACAATGGGGGACAGGCACCTGCTCTCACGTGGAAAACAGAGCAGAAGTGGCACTTCTAGCCCTGGCTCTTCCTAGCACAGCTCACAAACCCAGTGCCCGCTCTTTGGCATCTGCCCTCAGTGTTGGCCAGGCTGAGCGAGGCCAGCAGTGGGCACACTCAGCCCAGCCTTGCACAGCTGGCCCTGCTTTGGGAACCTGCTTATTAAATCCAGCTCCGGAAGCTCCGGGGCCTCTTCCCTCCGCCGCCCACGGAGCTGGCTTCTGGAGGGGACAGAGAGGAGACCCACTGCTCATCAGAGAGGCAGCTCCCCAGTGACTGAGCCCTCCTGAGCGTGTCAGCCAGTCACTGACCTGGTGGCTGAAGTCTCAGGGGACGTGATTCCTGTCTGTACCCCCTAAAGACAAGAGGAGCAAAGGACGGTGGAGCTTTTGCCAGGTCCTGCTGCTCAGGGTCCTGCCTCTGAGCTGCAGGTGACCAGCAGGCAGCCCCGTGGCTCCTGACCCTGCGTCCCTCCGTGATGAGCTCACCAGGCGGAGGAGCTGGGCTTAGGGCAGGCCTTTGCCCGGTCCCAAGCCAGGGTGGGGCAGGCCACCATTGAGGCAGGGCCCTCTCCAGGATGGCCTTCCTTCTTCGTCCCCGTAGCCTCCTCCTGCTCTTGATTAGAGAGTTTATCAAAAGAGGGCCGCCTGCCTCCCTTATCACACTCAGCACCAAACCCAACTCTGACCTCCTGAGTGGGACTCAGGCCTGGGGGGGCTTGGGGATCAGGAGTGCAAAGGAAGGCCGGAGAGGGCAGGGCAGCCTGGGTTGGTCTGCTGGCCCATGCAAAGGATGGGGACACCACCTGCGTGAGGCCCTGAGCTCCACCACCGGGTTCCAGGCCTGGGCGGCCCCCCCACTGCTCTGGCCTGGGCTGTCCCCCAGGTGGCTGCTGGGCACTGCTCCCCCTGTGGCCTGGGAGGTGAGATGAGCCTCTCTCTGGCAGGACGGGGCCAAGCTCATGGCTCCGGGATCCAGGGAGACCTCCACCTGCACATGGGTCAGGGGGCCCCAGAGCCTCAGCTTCACCTGAAGGTCTTTACCCCAGGTCTCTCGCCTCGCCCTGTCCGGCCTCCGCAGCTGGACGGCCGCCGCGGTGCCCAGCGCAGTGTTCGCAGCCCGCCACTTCCAGCCCTTCCTGCCCCCTCGCGGCCAGGAGCTGGGGGAGCCCTGGTGGATCGTCCCCAGTGAGCTGAGCGTCTTCACTGGCTACCTGTCCAACAACCGCTTCTACCCGCCACCGCCCAAGGGCAAGGAGGTGAGGGCTGTGGTGAGACAGGCCCTGCCCACCTGCACTCTGGACTGCCCCCGCCTCCCCCAAGGTCCCTGGGCCTTCAGATCCAGGGTGTACCCTCGCCCAACACTCCAGGCTAGCAGGGCCCAGCAAGCCACTCAGGGTCTCCACTGCTGTCCCCCAGGTCATCATCCACCGGCTCCTGAGCATGTTCCACCCACGGCCCTTCGTGAAGACCCGCTTTGCCCCTCAGGGGGCTGTGGCCTGTCTGACTGCCATAAGTGATTCCTACTACACTGTGATGTTCCGGTGAGCATCCCTGCAGCTGGCCTGGGACTTGAGGCCATTGCACAAGGTATAGGGCCAGCAGGGGAGGGCCTGGCCTAGGTCCCCAACTCCACTACTTCATGCTTATGGTCTCAGGCTCTCTGAGCCTCAGTTTCCTCGCTGTGGGTCAGCATAGTAGTGGTTTACTCATAGGGCACATGAGAATTTGGAGAGAAATGTCCAGAACTTGCTTAGTCTAGGACTGGTGGCTGTGATTGTGTTGTCCACACAGAGGTCAGGACATTGTCACCCATACCCTTGAAAATCCGTGGGAGCTCAGAGGAAGGTCAAGGTGCTTCTTTCTGAAACTGGGCCTTGTCCTCCTCCTGCCCCACGCACCCTCCTCCCCCCGTCCAGCCTTCTCTCCCACAGGAGTCTGGCCAAGGCTCCCAGGATTTGGGGGAGAAGATAGGGGAGCATTGGCTCAGCGGAGTCTGTTCCCCACAGGATCCACGCCGAGTTCCAGCTCAGCGAGCCTCCAGACTTCCCCTTCTGGTTCTCCCCAGGCCAGTTCACTGGCCACATCATCCTCTCAAAAGATGCCACCCATGTCCGTGACTTCCGGCTCTTCGTGCCCAATCACAGGTGGGAGCTGGGGCTGGCCCCGCCTCAGCACCTGGCTACAGTCTATCCTTCCCCAACTCCAGAAGCTCAAAAGCAGAACAGTCCAGAGACACCCTCACTCTCTGCCCCTTCCCTTATTCCCCAGAGCCACCTCTCAGTGGCTGCTCAGGCCACCCAGGGGAAGGGCAGGGCCCCTGTTGGGGGGTCCAAGGAGGCTTCCCAGAGGAAGTGACATCTAAGCAGAGACCTGGGGGAAGAGAGTCCAGACAGAGGGAACAGCACATGCAAGAGCCTGAGCCTCAGCCCTATTGCCACAGAGCCTTGGAGGGGTTCTGGGACAGCACTGTCTGAGCCAGCTGCCTGCCTGCCTCATCTGCCCAGGATCAGCCACCCATCAGCAGAACAGGGGACCTAGGAAGGCCTAGGCAAGACATTCCTCCCTGATAAGTCCCAAGACTTAGCAGGCCTGAATGACCTCTTAGACAGGGTCAAGTCCCAGGCTGGGAGCCAGGAAGTCCCCTAGTTCAGCCTTAGCTATGGCAGCAGTGGGCTGTGTGGCTGGCCCTGGCCCTCTATGAACCTGTTTCCTCATCTGCCAGATGGGAGGCTCACTCCTGGCCACTTGCACTCATGGAACAGGAACAAGGGGATGGTTGGGATAGCCTGGAAAGAACAAGTTGTCCCTAGCAGTGGGAGGGGCTTCTTCCCCCCCCCCCCAGAGGCAGGGCAGGGACACACTGGGCCCTAGGGACAGGGAGGGGGATGAAGAGGAAACACAGCTGCCCCTCCCTCTCCCAGCAAGGAGCGCCCGCCCTCTGTGGCGGCCAGGGAGGAGGCTGCCAGGCACCTCTGCCTCCAACCCCAGGTTGTTGGGGGTGAGGGGGTCCTGGACTGGATGAGACAGAAGAGGACAGACATCCAGCCCAGGGCCAGCTGCTCCTGTCCTTGTTTAAACCAGGCCACAAGAAGGCCAACCCCTCTGAGAGCACCCAGCTCACCTGTGGGCTTCACCTGCTGCAGAAGTGCTTGGTTGTCAGCCTTGGGGCACCCCCATGTGGCAGATCTGAAGATCGCACTTATCAGACTGCCTGCTGCCTACCGAAGGGGCCCGTGGTGCCTGTTTTACACTCCTGACCCGCTTGGGCCTGCAGTGAGGCATTGGCCATCTCTCTGCCCTGAAAGGTCATGGGCAGTACATGAGGTGTGCTGCCCAGGGTGGGCCCCATGGCTGTGGTTGGGAAGGGGCAGCCTGGGGAGAGGAAAGGGCACAGGCTCTTGGTTAGAATCCCAGTCTCTCTGAGACCCTGGATTCACCCTGTAAAGCCTGAGTGTCCTCATCTGCAAAGTGGGCAGCTCGTGGTGAGCAGACGAAGTCTGCTGTGTAGGTGATCTACATCTGAGATGCCGTTCTGCCTGGCCACCCCAGGTCTTTGAATGTGGACATGGAGTGGCTGTACGGGGCCAGCGAGGGCAGCAGCATGGAGGTGGACATTGGCTACATACCCCAGGTAAGCCCAGGTGGCCCTCACCAGGTCATCCTGCGGGGCCCGCCTTCCCTGGGCCTCCGTCTCCTTCCTCTGTGATGAATTGAGTGTCCCTAAAGGTCTTTCAGGGCCCCGCTCTGAGCCATCCCTCATCACTGACCTCTGGTCCAGATGGAGCTTGAAGCCATGGGCCCCTCAGTGCCCTCAGTGATCCTGGATGAGGATGGCAACGTGATTGACAGCCGCCAGCCCTCAGGGGAGCCCCTCCAATTTGTGTTTGAGGAGATCAGGTGGCAGCAGGAGCTGAGCTGGGAGGAGGCCGCCCGCCATCTGGAGGTGGCCATGTACCCCTTCAAGAAGGTGAGGTTGGGCTAGGGTGAAGCCCAGGGCAGGCTGCATGGCTGAGCTGGGAGCGTGGAGGGGGGACGTGTACAGGGCAAGCTGCTGAGGCTCTGTCATCCGGGGCCATGTGGCCTCCCCTGCCAGGAGGGGCATCCCAGCCCAGCAGTACCCCTCCACACCCTCAGACACGTGAACCTGCACACATGCACGCCCACAGACACACTCATACACAAGCACAAACGCGTACCCGTACACACACGCACCCAGACCCTGCACACTCGGCCCCAGAACAGCCCCCCCCCCCCAACTAGCACAGCAGCTTCACTGTCTGGGTCTGACCGTAGGTCACCTACCTGCCGTTCACGGAGGCCTTTGACCGAGCCAAGGCTGAGAACAAGCTGGTGCACTCAATCCTTCTTTGGGGGGCCCTGGATGACCAGTCCTGCTGAGGTGAGGGAGCCCTGGGCAGCTCCAAAGGGAGAAGCAGGGGCCTCATACTTTGTGGGACAGCAAGCTGAGGCAACAGCTGTCCTGATGGAACCCTGCGGGACTCGGGCTACATACAGGGCGGGGGCTCTGGGTGAGTGCTGGAGGGTTTCTGTGCTGAGCCCTGAGGCAGAGGAAGGGTCCCTGCACACTGGGTTCAGACTCAGTCATTTTCAGCGTGGTGACCTTGACCACGTAACTTCTCCTGAGCCTCAGATTTCTCCACAGCAAAAGTGGGATAATGTACTCACCTCCCAGGGTTGTGAAAAGGGATGTGGAGGTGCCACATGCTGTAAAGTGACATCCACACTGAGGGAAAGTGGTGCCCGAGGCTGGGCTGGGTTTCTCATTTAGGAAACTCACCTGAGACTTGTGGGAGTCCTTCAGTGGGTTCAAAGAGGAGTAACATGCCCTGCCCACATCTGGTCACTCAGCGGACATCCTGGGCACCTGGTATACCAAGTGGCAGGCCAGGTGCTGGAGGCCTACAGTGTAGTGCAGAGGCAGATGTGGAATGAGTAAGCACAAGTATAGAGAGTGTTGTACCAGGCAGTGGCCAGACTGGCACGAGAGCATGGTGGAGGGGTCAAGGAAGAATTACTTGAGAAAGTGACATTAAGCTGAAACTTTGAAGGATGAGGAAGAGTTACCAGAGGAAGAGGGTTACAAGAGGAAGAAGCTTCTGGGCAGAACAGTCTGTGCAAAGGTCCGGGGGCACAAAGAGTTCTGTGAATTTAGGGAGGTGTCACTGTCTCTGATCCCTGGGCCAGGTAGAACCTACCCCAAATCTCAGCCCAGGTGTCAGTGTTATTGACATTAATCCCAACTACCACTTATTCAGTACTTACCTATTGAATCTGTTATTTCAAGTGGATGCAGAGACCATTCTGCAGTCTATGAGGCTTGCCCAAAGCAAGATCATTGCTGATGGAAAACCCCAGTAAGACCTGGGGGCACCTCACCCTTCTGGCCTTGACTTCTACCTGAACAGGTTCAGGGCGGACTCTCCGGGAGACTGTCCTGGAAAGTTCGCCCATCCTTGCACTCCTCAATGAGAGCTTCATCAGCACCTGGTCCCTGGTGAAGGAGCTCGAAGACCTGCAGGTGAGTGGAGGGAATGGCCTATGGGAGCCCCTGGGACAGTGCTGGAGGCCCAGATAGCAAGAGCCTGCGACTGTCCCCACCCACAGAGCCACCAGGAGAACCCGTCCCACAGGCAGCTGGCTGGCCTGCACCTGGAGAAGTACAGCTTCCCGGTGGAGATGATGATCTGCCTGCCCAACGGCACTGTGGTAGGCACCAGGGACCCGGGAGCAGTAGGCAGGGGACATGTCTGTGCAGGCTCCTCGGGTCTGCCACCACCTCAGGCCGCGAAGCCTCACACTGGTCTCTTAGCTAGTGTGAGCCCCACCATGCACAACCAGGAATCGCAGTGCAGGTGCTTTGCAAGAGTGGGACCTCAGCAGCCCTTTGGGGACTGCATGGCAGTGAGCATAGTCCAGGCAGGGGGTCAGCACATCCCCAAATGAATCAGACCAGTTGAGTGGACAAAAGCATGTCCTGGAGGGAAGACGCTCCTCCTGCCACTACAGCCGGCCTGGGGTGGTGGGGTAGGAGGAGCAGGGCCCTGTGGCCAAGAGCACCAGGGAGGGCCCTGACCGAGCCAGGGTTCCAGACCCTACTTCTCCCTAAGGGCCCCTCATATGGCCTCACCCACGTCCTTGCTACACTTTGGAAATAGATGGTCACCAGTATCCTGGTTGCTTTGCTTTCCAGGGCTGGGATTAAACCAGGGTCTTGAGCATGCGAGGCAAGTGCCCTTCCACCAGCTACATCCCCAGCTCTTTTTTAAATTTTATTTTGAGACAAGGTCTCCCTAAGTTTTCCAGGCTGGCCTCAAACTTGTGATCCTCCTGCTTCAGCCTCCCGAGTCACTGGGATTACAGGCGTGTGCCACGTGCTTTGCTTTCAATGCGTGTTTTACAGACAAGGAGAGTGAGGCTCAAACATTTCCAGAGGCTCAGAAGTTTTCAGAGATTTGGCAAAAGTTGCAGACAGTTAGGAAGAGCAGTTGGCTTTGAAAGTAGGTTCACCTGTGAGCCTCTGAATCTCTGGCTCCCCTACTGGAAGCCACTCTTGTCCTCTAGTGCCTTGGCTGGCTGGCGTGTGACTCTGCTTGCTGCAGGAGGGTGATCAGCTGCACCGAGATCCTGGGTGGGGGTGGTTCCGGGGCAGGAGATGGTGTGGAAGAGGAGTCTGTGAGAGCCTGGCGAGAAGGACAGGGCACTGGGCAGAAGGCTGAAGGTGTCAGGGGCCCGGGAGGAAGGGCCTGGGGACCGCCAGGCAGCCCATCCCCTCCTGGCTTCCACCATGCAGAGCCTACTGCGGACCAGGTCCTGGGGTCACCAGGATGAGCAGTCAGTGCGCTGCCTGGCGTGCACTCGCCTACTCACCCGCTGGCTGGCTGGTTGGTTGGCTGGTCGGTCGGTCGGTTGGTCAGTCAGTTGCTGGGTCCTCCTGCCCACGTGTTCATTCACTTACTGGGCACCCGCTTGGACCAGGCTCCTTGCAGAAAGGTAAAGAAACCGCTGTGCCCGCACTGTGCTCACTAGTTAGAGCAAGAGGCAGGTGGGAAGCAGCCCAGAGAATGCTGGGCATTTGGACAGAAAGGACTGTGGGGCTCAGGGGTCATAGGAGCAGAGGAAAGAGAGGCTATTTGGGGGTAGACGGCAGGGGGCTAACGGAAGAGATGACATGGGCAGGTGCCAGGAGTTCTCCTAGTGGACGGGGTGGGGAGGAGCACTGCCGTGGGGCCTAGGAGCCCATGGCAGAGGCTGGAGAGCAGCTGCTTCTCCTGAGACACTCAGGCCGGCAGAGCCCGGGCCTCCCCAGCTCTCCTCACACGGTCCTTCTACCAGGTCCACCACATCAATGCCAACTACTTCCTGGACATCACCTCCATGAAGCCTGAGGACGTGGAGAACAATGTCTTCAGCTTCTCCTCCACCTTTGAAGACCCGTCCACGGCCACCTACATGCAGTTCTTGAAGGAGGGACTCAGGCGCGGCCTGCCCCACCTCCACCCCTAGTTGCCTGCTGGGCTGGTGGGAAGCCAGGCTGGACGGGACCTGGTAAACTGGCCCGCAGGCCCCTGGGCCAGAGTGGACCCTGGCCCACTTCAGACTTGAGACCCTTCCCATGCCCACTCCACTCCTAGGCTGCTTTGTGGCTTTGAAGTCAACTGAGAGCAGCCACCTAGCTTTGCCTCAGTGACACGGGTAGATAAGAGGGGGCCCGAGCTGACAGGGTGAATGAGCTGTGATCTCTGGTACCACCATTAGCCCTTCCCTACCCACCTGGCTCCAGATGCCACTTGGGATCCCCCAACACTGGCCCAGGTGACCTACCTGGACCTCCCTCACCCAGTCACATAGTCCAGCGGGGAGGAGTGGGCCAGAAAGATGGGGGGCCCCCTCTCCTGCTTCTTGCCCTCCTCCCAAAGGAAGCACCCAGGACCGTGGCTGGGGACCAGGCTGCCATGTAGCATTGCTGTCTGCAGAGCCTGCCTTCCTGCCACACCCCGGCTGTTCTCCTGTGTGTGATGTCCCCAGCTGGGGTCAGCCTCAGCTGGAGACAGCCTGCTGGAGCCTGTGTGCAGGGCCTCCTACTAAGGGAAGCCACCCTGTGGCACTGCTGCTTCCCAAGCCACACACAGACCTAACAATAGGTCTCCAGAACCTAATTAGGAAATTGGGGAAGTTACTGTGAAGCAGGCTCCTGCTTTAGCAGGGGGCCCCTGAGGAGCCCCTGAGGCCCAGGGCAGGGCATTCCCACCACCTGCCTAGCACAGGGTCACAGCAGGACTGCTGGAGCCAGTCCCCATCACACTTCTTTCCCCACAGACCCTGACTCCATAGAAGATAGCCCAGCCAAAGAACAGCCTGTCCCAGAGCCAGCGCTGTCCAGGCCACTAGGGGTACCTCAGACCAGCTCATCTACCACTGGGTGGCCATCAACTCTCCTTGGCCACTCTCGAGGCCTTGGTCCACTTCGTGAGCCACTGACTACAGCCAGTCTTTTTTATACATTCAGAAAAGTGTTTTTATGTGAACTTTCTCACATTTTATAGGTATTTTTTTATGACCCCTGTGCTGAGGAGGAAGAAGGGGGCAGTGGCCTCCCCAGCAGCCGCCCCATGACGGCTGGATCTGAAATCCTAGATGGACCCAGCTTGATGTCTTTGCAGTTGCATGCATGGGAAGAAATATGCCTCCTCCTTCTCCTCCCCCAGCTTTTTAAAAACATCCTAGAGGATCAGAATACCCCACTCCACCCTGCCCTCCACCCAGGAGGCCCTGGGACTTACCTTCATTAAGGCCTTAAAATCAGCCCATTCCCCATGCACCATTCTCTACCTGGTCCCCTCACCCCTCGGCTCATCCTGACAGAGGAAGCAGGGGACAGACTTCCTCAGACACTCCCTGCCCTGCCTGCCTGCCCCGGGAGCACGCCCTGGGAGCCTCCATTTTGCACCAAGTATGACAACAGCAGCCATTGCCCAGAGCCTTCTCTCCAAGGCAGTATTTCCCACTTAGTCTTTAAGACAAAAATGTGAAGTGGACAGCTATTTCCCATTTTGCAGAGGAAGACGTTCAAGTCTCAGGGAAGTGAAGTGACCTGCCCCGTGGTCACTCAGTGCTGGAACTGAGACAGCAAACCCATATATGACTCCAAATCCTGTGTCTTGATTTGGGGGTGCTTTGACATTGCACCCTGCCTGTTTCCTCTGAGTGGAAAAGAATGCCTTTTAAATCATCATGACTCATCCCCTCTGATCTTCAGATCAAACTCAGAATAAATAGCGGGAGCCGCTGAATGCAGCCAGGTTTTCTGTCCTTCCATGCCCCTCACAGGGGGAGGAGGCACCAGTGCCTCCACCATCTTGCCAGACCCATCCCGGAGCCTGCCGGCCTCAGCAGAGACCTGGCCTCCCCACCCAGCAAGCTCTTCCCCTCCTGCTGCTCCCAGAGGGCCCTCTCCACACCAAACAATCCTGGTCCCATCTAGGGGCTGATGGCTTCGGTTTCCTGAATCCTCATCGGCTGCCTTTGCCCATCCCCAGCTGGGGAGGGCCTTCGCCACCTTCCTGTTATCCCTTTGCCTCTTCCTTCCCTGGTCCCCAACATGTCCTATAATAAAATAGGAGAGGCTAGGGAGGCTCCCAGTGTTTTTCCTTTGGGCAGGTTGTTCAGTTCTGTCCTGGCGAGGTCTGGCTGCTTCCCTGCTGGGATTGGCTTGGCAGATGGGTAAGGGAGCAGGCAGGAATGCCTTTTGGGACTATCTTGTCTGTCACCAGAGGGCCTGAGTGACTTGCCTAAAATAAGTTTGTGATAGATCACTGGTGGAACTTACTATTTTGAGAATCTGGTGCTCTGTGTTGAGAAAGATCCTGACGCTAAACCCATTGTCTCAGAAGCAGAGCCTGAGACAGGAATTAGGTGGTTTGGGGGGAATTTCACTTTAGGAATGACCTGTAAAAGAAGGGTAGAAGCCAAACAGGGAAAGGACAAATTCTGAGCAGGGATCTGTTCAGATCAGCCTTGACCTGGCCCACAGAGAAGGGCTCTGGGGCACAAACCACGATGCAGGGTCACAACAACCTTTTTCACCTTGTATCAGTCAGTCATGGACTTGGGGAGGTGGCTAAGGAGGCTCCATGCTCCTCGCTGCCAGGGGAGTATCTATACCCAGGACTGGGAGAGTGATTTACATGAAGCGCGATTGCCTACGAGGGGAAAGTAATGATTAAAGCACAATTTGCCATCCTTGGAAGAGGACTAGGCCTGGAAATCAGCCTTCATCATTTGAATATGGTCAGGATCAGGATGGGTGACCTGATCTTTAGGTCTCTGGCCAAGACCATTTGTATAACTTGTGAGGACCTAGAGCAAAATGAAAGTGGGATGACATGACCCAGAAAATCAGGGTCAGGTGCTGCAAAATGATGTTTTGATCAATGATGGGCCACATATATGATGATGGTTCCCTAAGATTATAGTAGAGCTGAAAAATTGTTATCTAGTATTCTTATGTACATTTTCTGTGGATATTTAGATGTATTAATTCTTACATTGTGTTACAGTTGCCTACAGAATTCAGTATAGCAACATGCTGTACAGGTTTGTGACCTGAAACAATAGGTTACGCCATATTGCCTAGGTGTGTAGTAGGCTATACCAACCAGGTTTGTGTAAGCATACTCTATGACAGTCACACAATGACGATATCACCTAATGACACATTTCTTAGAGTGTATCCCTGCTACTAATTGATGCACACCTACTTTCAAGAAGGCAACAGCAGAGCAATAACCCAAGTATGGCGTTTTTCTGGACATGGCCCATTGTGACTACACGCTGTTTGCTCACGGAGTCAGCCCTGTCCCTGGCAGATTGAGGTTGCAGGCTTTAGGACCAAGAAACTGCAGACTGGGAACTAGGCAAAGTCATGTGTTGATGGCAGAGGAGGAAATGTGTCCTAGGAACTGGGTGCCTTGGAGACCAGGACACTGAGAGTTTGTGTACAGAGAGGGAGTGGGCTTGCAGCTTGAGAGAACTATGGGTCTCTCTTCCATGCCTTCAATCTACCCATTTAATCAAACTGAATACAGTGTGTGTGTGTGCGCCGTGAGGTGGGGAGGAGAATAAAACAGGAGATAGCTGCAGAGCGTTGGAGGGCAGGAGTCAAAGGCCAAAAATACCGTTCTCCCATTCTTGCGGGAGAAAGACTGTGGAGGGCCCTGCCTGGGAAGCAAGAAAAGTGAACAGGGTGAAACAGCAGACAGTAAGCACCCGACCCTGAGGCTGGAGTGCCAGGCTTAGGATTCTGAAATTTGCAGTAGGGCTGCGGACAACAGACCCTGCATGTTTTAGGGTCTTAGCAGCAACACAGATCTCAGCTTCCCGAAGTCGGATGGAACTAAACGTGGAGAGCAGCAAGGAAGAGGACCAGCGGTGGGACGTGGCGAATCAAGTCTGGGGGTCTCCAAGCGCAGCCAGCCCGCTTTTCCCAGGCGCGGCGACCAGGGCCCGAGCCTGTCATCGAGAGAGGGCGTGTCTTCTCTCTGCCGCCCCGCCCCCCGAGTCTTGCTCGCCCCGCCCCGAGCCGGACCGGCCTCCCCAGGGCGCGCGGGGCCGCCGTTCGGTGCGCAGCTGCAGAGGACAGCTTCCGGGGGGCGGGCCGGCGGAAGTGAGGGCGGTCGAGGCTGGGCCGGCTGCTGCGGTAGGAGGGGCCGTGAGGTGAGTGAGTCCCGTAGCCGGAATCTGAGGTGAGAAATACCCCGGGGGCCGCCCGGGAGGCCGGGGAGCGGTCCTTTCGCCCCGCGGCAGGCAGGGCCCGGGCGCCGAGCGCAGCCGGCGGCTGCTGTTCCCGCGCGAGTTCTCGCGGGAGCTGCCGTTGTCCGCCTCCTGTGGCGGGGGAAACTGATTCTCCGAGGGGTGGTTGCTTTACGAGTCACCCCCAGATAGGGACTGAGCCGGGACCGGAGGCTTCTGGTCCAGGCTGCGCTGCCCTGTCGCCTCCTTTCTCCCGCGCACTCCGGCCCCTGGCCTGCGGGTCCAACGGCCGCTGGGCAGGCGACGAGGTCTTGGCCGACCTTGGCCCGGGTTGGGGACGCGTCCTGGCGAGGTCCCGCGCGGCTGCCCCCGGCGCAGCAGCTCCGGGCCCTCGCGGGAACCGTGGGGGCTGTCCGCGCAGGTCTCCGCCCGCTGCTGCGCTCGGCAAAGTTTGCTGAGCGCCCCGCCGGGCCCAGTGCCGCCGAGGCCAGGCCCCGCTCTGGAGCAGCTCCCAGCCTCCCGGGGGAGGCCGCGCAAACGTCCGGACGGCCACCACGGAAACGGCCGTGGCAGCGCCGAGGTGCTCAGACCTACCGCCGCTGGCGCTCGGGGCAGGAGCCTTCTCCAGCAGTGACACGTGGGCGGGGTTTCCAGCAAAGTTGGTATTGGCCTCCGCTGTCCCCTGAATTCCTGGAATGTTTAAGCGCTGGCTGGGGCCTGGCAGGCGGCGAGCTGCGTCTTGGGAGCTCCCGGCCTCCTGGCCAAGCGTTGGTTACAGTTTCTGTTTTAAGCGGCCTCCGAAGGAAGCCGGGCGCTGCGGGTTATCGGGAGAGGACCGACCCCGTCGGGGTGGAGGGATGCTTGAGCAGAGCTCCCAGGAGGGACTAGGAATTTGGCCAGAGTGTTTCCAGCAGAAGCAGTAGTGTGTGTGACTCGGGGCTCAGAGGTGGCTGTTTGGAGGCTGGCAGGAGGACAGCTGGGCAGAAGGCAGAAGGCAAGGGAGAAACAGGAGGTGTGGCTGTTAATGTCCAGCCAGACCAGACAGGCCTTGTCACTGGCAGGGAACTTGGCCTAGAGAGGGCCGGGGAAGATGGGGGTGGCAGGCCAGCTTTAAACACTGATTTGGAAAGATGCCTCCGGCTGGCAGTGAGGGTTAGGCCCAGCCAAATCTTGGAGGCAAGGTGGAGAGGGAGTGGCTGTAGTGACTGAAGTGGGAGGTCTAGAGGCACTGCTAAGTGAACTCGTGGGTTGCGTTGACATTGAGTACAGAGCCTGGCACAGAGGCAGCAAAGCTTGAAAAGACTTAATGCACTTCCTATTGCATGATCACTGAGTGACCCTAGACAAGTCCCTTCCTCCCTCCAGCTTCCTTTCTCCACGTATATCATAAAGTTGTTACACTGTCTCCTGAGATATGAGAGAAACTCTCTAAAGGAGTTCTCTCTGGAGAGAGCTGTTGTCACTCCATTCTGTCCCATTCAGAATTGGCCCAGGGCTCCCCGCCCCCCCCATGACTTCTCACCCAGGCATACTTAGCCCTCCTAATTTGTACGGATACCTTTGCAGCTTTATGGTACTCTGTCCCTCTTTACATATCCCTCCCCTTCCTGTGTGGGACTTGTTTTCCGTGTTTTCTTCCCTTCCTACTCTCTCTGAATTCACCATGGGGCCTGGGGGCCAGGGCACAGAACTTGCCAGGTCATCTGCCTAGTGTGCCTGCCAAGTAATGATCCTCAGGCAATTAGGGTAATGAATTCAGGTCCTGTCTCTCTGCTGAACTGTGAGTGCCTTGGGATTACAATTGTGTCTTACGCCTTCCACAACCCCTGGCACTAATGGGTATTAATGCATGAGCTCACTCACCCCATCTGCTGCATGCATAGGTAGCTATGGAGAGTGCAATCAGGAGTGACCCCACCTGTTTTGTTTTAAAGTTCACTAAGCACCTTAAAATTCCTTGCACCCACCAATTTCACTGATCTTTAAGGTCCCGGAGTGATAGCTTTTCCTATTACCTTTTAACAGATGGAGAAGCCAACATTCTGAAAGGTTAAATGACTTGCCTATAGCTGCAAAGCTAGGTAGGGAAATTTTGGGTCTTTGAACTAGAGGTATAGCTCAGTGTGAGACTAGTATTGTGCACATGGCCCTGGGTTTGATTCTTCAGCAACCCCCCCCCCCACACACACACACACCCATTCTGCAAAAAAAAAAAAAAAAAAAAAAAGTCTCTCTTCCCTGTAGCTCAGTAGATTGAGACTGGCCTGAGCTGGCTGAGACATTTCTGCCAGCTGCCTTTGAGTCTCCTTTCCTGCCCCCTTGTGGAGGCCTAGCAGTGCTTTTCCATGCTTTGCTTTTGCATCTCATCTTCAAGAAGAGCTTGGATGGTATTTTCACTTAGGCTCTTCTAGGAGCTTCATAGCTACCAGAGAATTCAATTAACATCTTTTGAAGTTTTGCCTCAGGAAACGTTAGGGTCCAGGAAGACTCCCTGGGTTAGCCAAGCTCACCCAGCAAATTTGAAATACAACCGTTAAAAGAGTGCGGTTTTGGAGAAGCCAGTGTTAGCTGAGGGCAGCCTCTTGGGCTGGTTTTCTCCCTTGTGAAGCTTCAGAGGTCTTGGTTTTAGTCATGGCTCTGCAGGGCCTGGTGTTGCGGGACTTTGGTGGTGTCCATCGAGTCCCCTCTGTGGGGGTTATTTCACAGGAAGGGAAATCTGTGGTTCCTTGAGATGGCCTGATATGAAGGAGTCACACGTCCTGCCTCCCCGAGCTGCCCTGTGGCTACCTTGTCCTTCAAGTGCAGGAGCTGGCTGAAATGTCGGGAATGGAAGCTAATGTGGTAAGGGGTGTTCCAGGGCATGGGTAAGGTGGGAAAAGTTGAGCCCTGGACCTGCTGAGGTACTGAGGCCCTGAGACTCTAATTCATTCTTCCTTTCCCCTGGATGCTTGGAACTGGAGCAAGACTGCCCTCCTCCCTCCTCCCCCAGGGAAGATCCTATTATAATCTTGGGGACACTTCAGGAGTCAATATGTTTCTGCCTTTCTGTGAAGAGGGAAGGGAGGGAAACCTGGATGGTCCCTACACCCAGCTAATCCTAGCCCCTTCCCTGGGCCCTCCCAACTTTCTTAGCAGCAGCAGGGGTCCCTTTGAATGCTGGCCAAAGTGAAGGCTTGGAGAACCTGCACTCACTCATAATTGAACTTGACTTTCTGCCAGAGGGTGCCCTGTCCCTTAGAGTTGGGAATTCAAGTCTCCCTGCTAAAGAGGAGAGGGCAGAGACAATAGGTGGATTTGTCGTTTCTGAGGTCATAGCTGCTTGTCTCTCTGCTCTAGACTATTCCAATCTGGCAAAACAAACCACATGGGGCTGCTCGAAGTGTAGTGAGAAGAATTGGGACCAACCTTCCCCTGAAACCATGTCCCCGGGCATCGTTTGAGGTGAGTGCTAGAAGGGCAAGGAAAGTAGAGGCTCAGACCTCATGGGAGGTTGGTGCCACCTGGTTTCCTGGTCCCTTTTTCAGTTGTTCAGGAAATATTTACTAAGTGCTTATAGTAGATCCTGGTCACTATGATTGGACACAAATCTGTTACTACAATGCTCAAGACTTTACATTTGCTCATAAATTAATAATCTTTCACTGCATCTTTGTTGTCTCTGCTGACTTGGATTTTTTCAGGCTCCAACAGTTCAGTTTTATCAGAGCAGGCCAAAGGCATTTGCTGAATCAAATCTCCAGACAGGTTATGTCTGTGCTCTGAGGTGTTTGCCCACAACCTGGCAAGTCCCCACATGGGACAGAGTGCTGTCTTTGGAACTCTGCTTTTCTCATGAGCCCTGAGTTGGCTACTCGGGCACTATTTTTAGTAGTTCTCTGAGGCTGTTGTCCCCATCCTCTTTCTGGCCAAATGTGTCCACTTTTTTACTGGGCTCCTTCAGTCTTACCTCTGTGTCTAGGGAGCTGTTAACACCCACTCTTTAGCAGAGGTTCCTACCTGGCCCAGGTCTCTGAGACCTCCTTCTGCAGTCCAAAGCTAGATAGTATTAGCCTGAGCAGTCTTCCTCTAGGAACTTATGATTAGGGACTAGCTCAGGGCTACGTGGTTAAGGTATGTGAGTTTGGGAAGCTGGGACATAAAAGAAGTACTGCTTTCTGCCCACACAGAAGAGACAGAAATATATACATGAAAGAATGTGAGCCCAGGCAGAACAAAAATGATGCTGTGTAGGAACTAGTTCTAGAGTTAGAAGTGATGTCTATTCAAGCCAGGAATGGGGTTGGAAATATGTGTGGATGAGGGGTTGTCCCATGACCCATATTGCCAGCTATTCAGAATTACCTAAAGGATGTGGGCAGGATGTAGTTCTGGCTGCCTTAGAAGTATCAGAAACAGGGAATACACCTAGGGAGTGTTACTGACTCCATGATTTGTCCCCACACTAGACTGTACATTCCAGTCCATTGGCCAAATGCTACTGGGCAGAGACAATCAAGGACATAGGCTTTCTCAGTGCAGGAGTATACGTGAACAGTATTAGTAATACTAGCTGACATTTACTGGGTACATCCTTTGTGTCAGACACTGTGCAAAGTACTTAACTGTGTTTATTGATTTAGTTGTCAAGAACAATGGAACATTCAGAGCTAATTCAGGAAAGCAAATGGACGCCTTCCTGAAGTGGCCCATCTTAGCAGTAGCTCCTGGGTCAGTGAAAGTCCTGCTTTGACCCTGGGGTATCACTTAACTCCCGTGAATGCCAGGTTCATTATCTAAAAGCAGAAGCTATCAGCTCCTGATCACCTACCAAACAATTTGTAGCAGAAATATTTGCATTTAATTCACATATAGGTATGTGCTATTATTTTATTATCTTAGGTGTATTACAATTTACTGAGGTTGTCTTCAAATTTGTGATCCTCTTACCTCAGCTTCCCAAGTTGCTGGGATTATAGTTGTGTACCACCACACCCAGATTTTGTTTTAATCATAATCAGCATGAGATTGATTCCTGTTTTTTTCATTTAACACGTTACCATTTACTCAGCCCCTCTTTTCCTTGGTGATTGTTCATTTGGGTTGAGGGGTTAAAAAATCCCCTTATGGGGGTTGGGGTTGTAGCTCAGTATAGAGCACTTGCCTAGCTAGCACATGTAAGGCCCTGGATTCAGTCCTCGGCACCACATAAAAAGTAGTAAATACAAAAAGGTATTGTGTCCAATATTAAAAAAAAAAAAAATTTAAAAAATTCCTTTATGGTTGCTTTTGTACAGTTAAATTTTTTTTATTTAAATATTCAGTTATCAGGTTTGCTTAACAAAACAGTGGTAGGCTGGGGCTGGGGCTCACTGGTAGAGCACTTGCCTCGCATACATGACGCTCTGGGTTACATCTCCAGCACCACAAAAAAACTAAAAACAGGGGCTGGGATTGTGGCTCCGCGGTAGAGCGCTCGCCTAGCACGGGCGGGACCCGGATTCAATCCTCAGCACCACATAAAAATAAAGGCATTGTGTTGTGTCCATCTACACCTAAAAAATAAATATTAAAAAAAAAAAAACCAATGCCATAATAATGTAGATCCTAACTGACTATGTGATTCACCTAGCACCAAAGAAAATCACAACTACCACACACACAAAATAAACTAAATTAGCTATAAAGGTATACAGAGCTAACCAGGGGAAATCTACCATCAATATAACAAGTTGATGAATTTACATCAGTATTCTTTTCTTTGGGGGGGGGGTACTGGGAATTGAACTCAGGGACCACTGAGCCACATCCTCAGCCCTATTTTGATTTTATTTAGAGACAGAGCCTCACTGAGTTGCTTACCGCCTCGTTTTTGCTGAGGCTGGCTTTGAACTCTTGATCCTCCTGCCTCAGCCTCCTAAACCACTGGGATTAAAGGCCACCATGCCCAGCTCTAGTATTCTTTTTTTTTTTTTCTTTTAAATACCTTTCCCAGCTCTAGTATTCTTTTTTTTTTCTTTTAAATACCTTTATTTATTTAGTTGTATGTGATACTGTGGATCAAATCCATGCCTCCCATGTGCTAGGCAAGTTCTCTACCACTGAGCCACAACCCAAGCCCTACATCAGTATTCTTAAACCTATAGGGCAATATAATTTTAAACAGTAGCCACCTCTACTAATCCCAGTGGCTCTGGAGACTGAGGCAGAAGGATCACAAATTCCAAGGCAACCTGGGCAACTTGCAAGACCCTGTATTTAAAAATAAAAGAACTGGGCTTGTAACAGTGATAAAGTACCCTGGGTTTCAATCCCCAGTACCAAAAACAGAAAGAAAAAATAACTGAGACTAGTCCCAATGAAGACCCTAAAGAAACCTGCTTCTGAACTCCTCACTCAAGCTGTTTGCAACCAAGAACCCCCTTCCACCACCCTAGGAAGTCTTCCCGACACTTAATTCTGGCTTAGATGCCTCCCATCCTACCCTGTGCATTTTGCCATCTCTGATTGGCTCATCGTGGTGTCAGTAAATGTTGGTGAATTTTGCTTCCCCACAGACCCTGCCCAACATCTCTGACCTGTGCATGAGAGATGTGCCCCCAGTCCCTACTCTGGCAGACGTTGCCTGGATTGCTGCAGATGAAGAGGAGACATATGCCCGGGTCAGGTAGCTAAGGCAGCAGCTAGGAGTGGGGAGCTTCTTCCCCAAAGTGGCAAAAAGCAAGGAGGGGCTTGTGAGAGGCTGGGGGTTGGGAGGCAACAGGAATGAGAGCTGTGGGCTCAGAGGGGAGCAGAACTTAGGAGATGAAGGAATCTTAGAAGGGATGCAGTGGCCATCTTTCTGTGATGGACATATTTTATCTTTCTCTGGTCCAGGAGTGATACACGGCCCCTGAGGCATACCTGGAAGCCCAGTCCTCTGATTGTCATGCAGCGCAATGCCTCTGTGCCCAACCTGCGTGGGTCTGAGGAGAGGCTCCTGGCCTTGAAGAAACCAGCCCTGCCAGCCCTAAGCCGCACCACTGAGCTGCAGGATGAGCTGAGCCACCTGCGCAGCCAGATTGCCAAGATAGTAGCAGCTGATGCAGGTAGGAGCCCCTGATTCAGAGCTATAATATAATAGGCTGTCCTTTCCCCCGGCTTTGGGAAGGAAAATGGTGGTCCAATTCAGGAGGGCTTAAGCCAAAGGCCCTGGGGTTGTCCTGAGGCCCAACTAGTCTGTTGGCCCTTGTTTGATTTCCACCAGTCACTTTGGGATAAATGGTTTGGTTAGGAACAAAACTTTTGTTCATCCTATGACCTCAGGTTGATTTCCTCCCTTAGCAAAAATCAGTGCCCTCTTCCAGGTGTCTTTAAGATCACACACTCTGCTTTTCAATTTAGTAAGCATTCATCACCACCACAAGATGTATCCCCTTTAAGCACCTATCCTCTCTTTCCTTGTCCTTTCTACCAGAGGTCACCTCTCCAGCTTTCTGTCTGTAGTTAAAGCAGAACAAATGGAAATGGGTGGGATCCAGCCTTGAGCAGAGGCATGGACAAGCAACAGGTGGATCTTGCCCAGGATTCTTATTGACTCAGTCATAGGTGCTAAACCTTATCAGTTGGGACTGCACTTAAATTTCCCATTTCTATTTCATGGCTGTTTTTGGTTTTGTTTTTTGGTCATCCAAGATAAGCAGAACTAGCTTATGAAAAAAAAAATCAGAGAATATTTCTTAGAAACTGAGGAAATTCTGTCTATTAAGATTTGGGAGAGCTGGGATTGTGGCTCAGCGACAAAGTGCTCGCCTAGCACGAGCGGGACCCGGGTTCGATCCTCAGCACCACATAAAAAAATAAAAGCATTGTGTTGTGTCCATCTACACCTAAAAAAATAAGTAAATAAATATTAAAGAAAAAAAGATTTGGGAAACTAGAAGGCCCCCACCATTGTAGTTTTTGCCCAGAATAGTTTTAGTTCACAGATAATAAGATTCAAAGGCGCAGAATCAAAAGCAGTGTCCCCGTGAGAGAAATAACAAATATGGGCCTTGCCTCTGTCACTATTGCATAAATTTAAGCCAGGGCTGTCACCCTGTAGCCCACCATGGAAACTCTGAGGCTTTTATGGGATAGATTTTTCTGCCCTTCTGGAACACTGAAGAGCCCCATGCTTCCCCATTTTTCTGAACCCCTAAGTGGGAAGGATAGTGAGGGACCCATTACTAGCTATATATACCATCCTGTACTCTCCCAGAATGCCATAGTGTCAGCCCAAGAAATAAATAGGTTCTATAGGCAGTGCTTGTGGGGAGAAGAGATCACTACTGTGTTGTAGCCCCAATGTCCATCCATGCCTGTTGTTTTCTCTTTCAGCTTCGGCTTCATTAACGCCAGATTTCTTATCTCCAGGAAGTTCAAATGTCTCTTCTCCCTTACCTTGTTTTGGATCCTCATTCCACTCTACAACTTCCTTTGTCATTAGTGACATCACCGAGGAGACCGAGGTAGAGGTCCCTGAGCTTCCATCAGTCCCCCTGCTTTGTTCTGCCAGCCCTGAATGTTGTAAACCAGAACACAAAGCTACCTGCAGCTCGTCTGAAGAGGATGACTGCATCTCTCTGTCCAAGGCCAGCAGCTTTGCAGACATGATGGGTATCCTGAAGGACTTTCACCGGATAAAACAGAGCCAAGATCTGTAAGTAGTTGACAGGGAGACCTAGTTTCCTATTTAAGTTGCCCGTGGTGATTGGATGCAACACACTTACACAAGTCCTCGGTAGTAGCCATTATGTCACTGGTTCATAAAGCCTGCTACATGGTTGCTAGTGCTGGGACCCCAGTTTGAGGAAGGAGCAACACTTCACATTTTGGGTTTAGTTGCCCCCAACCAAATGTTAGACTAGTGAGAATTTTACAGAGAAGCTCATCTAATCCAACTTCTGTCTCTATGTGGCCTCATCATTTAGTTTTCATATTGCTAAGTAGCAGTGTTTCCGGGTCTCAACATCAGACTTAGGGGTTGTATGACACAATAAAACTATAGATAGTCTTGGTGCAAAGAGAATTTGTAAAAGTCAAGGATTTCTGCTTTAAAAGACAGTGGTCCATAATGCAAAAGCCCTTGCAAGTACAAGGCTTTTGAGATTCACAGGTAGTTTCTAAACCTGTAATTGCTCAGGTTTGTTAAAAATACACCATAAATTTACCAAAGCAGAATCTCCAAGGAGTGGAGCTCTTGTTTCTGTGGGAATATGCTGGAGCCTGGGGAGGCTACCTCCAGCCCCCTTGAAAAAAAGCCCTTCCAGTGTCTCCAAGTATGGTCTGAGCTGCTTGGAGCTCATCGGATCCTTATTGCCAAGTCCCTCCTCCCACTTATGTCCTGGGATTTTTTTTCTCCTTGTAATAGAAGAAGCTAGGTTGATGACTAAGAATGAGAAAGAAAGTAGCCCTGTCCACAAGAGTTCAGAATTATGATAAACCAGTCATTTACTTTTAAGGTTTAATGGTGGATTTTGCCCCTTTTATATTGCCTAAAGACCAGTAGAACACCTTCGTGAGAATGTATGGGTGAGGCTGGGGTTGTGGTTCAGTGGTAGAATGCTCACCTAGCATGCGTGAGGCACTTGGTTCAAACCTTAGCACCACATAAAAATGAAATAAAGATATTGTGTCCACCTACAACTAAAATAAAATAATAAATATTAAAAAAAAAGAATATATGGGCATCACTACATGATATAGCAGGTAATTTGAGTCTATCTTAGTCTGGTCCCAAGAGTTCCTTATGAAATGTGAATTTTTTTTCTATGATTCTGAATCTCATAAAAGTCTCTCTCTCAGCTCCCCTGGGGGGAGGACAAGGTAGTAGGCAATCTTTTTTTTTTTTTTTTTTAAAGAGAGAATTTTAATATTTATTTTTTAGTTTTCGGTGGACACAACATCTTTGTATGTGGTGCTGAGGATCGAACCCGGGCCGCACGCATGCCAGGCAAGCGCGCTACCGCTTGAGCCACATCCCCAGCCCTAGTAGGCAATCTTCAACACAACTTTTCCTCAGAACTAACAAGTCAGAATGGCCAAGAGTCATCAGTTCCTTCCCCTGTAGACTCTTGGGACAAGCTACTAAGGAAAGATAGGGTCATAAAGTGGGAGCCGAAGTGTAGCTACCAGAGGCCAGTGGTCCTTTATTTTGCCTATACTTATGTATAGGTATTTCCAGAAGTAGTACAGCCTTCTAATTAAGTGAGATTGGGAACTAGCAAGGTTGGTTTTAAAGTGTGGATTCATCACTTGTTTAATGACTACCAATGACTATAGACAAACAGCATGCCCTTCTGTGCTTCATTTTCCCATCAGTAGAGGGGACTTGCAATGGCAGCTGCTTCACAAGATTGTTCTGAGGATTCAGTGAGATATTGTGTGCAGACACAGAGCAAGTTCACCCTAAATACAAGCTATTGTTCTCTCTCTAGGACCCGGAGTTTAATGAAGGAGGAAGACCCTGCTGTGCTTATCTCTGAGGTCCTAAGGAGGAAGTTTGCTTTGAAGGAAGAAGATATCAGTAGAAAAGGAAACTGATGGCACTCCACTCTGCAAACTCAGTCTCATGCTCCTGGAATTCCTTCAATAGCTGCCTTCCTCACCACAGATGTTTCTGCCTCTCAATACAGTCTTGCTGACAAGCTAGATCTTGGGCTGAAAGAGAAGAGCTGGATTATATGTTTTCCATTTGAGCTGAGACACTTGTTTCAGGTAGTTGTAATATGGTGGAGTCTCAGCTTAAGGGGAATGAAAGAAGTTTGTTTTTCCTTGTCCCCGTGTGAAAATAGGACCTAAATGAATGAATGACTTCACTGCATTAGACCCCATAACTGGTCTCACCAGACACTTTGTGCCAGCTGTCACTTACTCTCAGCAGCTTTCTTGCAGCAGAGCAGGGCTGAGGGGAAGGGGCTACAAGTGTTTATGTACATGTTCACAGGGCAGGGAAGATCTTATGCTGCTCCATCATAAACCTACACCAATGCCCAGCAGTCACACCTTCCCTGTCTAGATGTAGAGTTCAGGCCACTGGTATAGCCAAGACTTGGGCTGCTATTGGGAGGCCTAGGCTATTTTTTCTTAAACATGTTTTATAATACTGTACAACCAAATCTACCCTCCAAGGCCCTGAGGCCTCATCACTTCCACCGACTGAAAACTTTTCTTCCACGGACTCTAGTAAGTCCAGTAGTTAAGAGAAATGGGGAGGGGAAAGAGCATACCATCCTTTTAGGCCCTTGGCTGACTATTCCATTGAATTGGGCCAAGGTACATACTTAACTGCATCATGCATGCATGACTCAGATGCCTTCGGGGCCCTTTCTCTAGGTATGTATACTGTGTGTGTTTGGGTTGAAACACTAGCTGATATTAAATGAAGGATTTGGAGAAATAGTACATTTTCTTTGTCCATCTCTGAGTTGTGATTATCCAGCATCCTTTAAGGGTAGAGGATTTCTATTAATTTTAAGGTACATGAACTTTCTTAAACAGGCTCCTGGCTTACTCTTTTTTCTTATAAGGTCCTGCACTTTAGTAAAAGTAAACTTCCCTAGGAAGTTTCTTTCCCCTTTATGGAGAGATTTTGCCCTAAACTCTTAAAAGCAGTTCCATCTTATACTTACAGGTTTGCCCCTAGAGGTTGTTTAAGCCTCAGGTACTCTACCTGCAACATGAGAAACTGCCACCTTGTGGACTATGCTTTGGGTAAGAAAGGGCCAAATAAGACCTGTTCAGGGCAATGACAGAATATATTAAAAAGTTTCTTTTTCAAAAGTAAAATTGGTAATGTCTTAATTACCACTTGTTTTACACTTTGTGAAAGAAGAGTAACAACAGCTACATCTAGGTTATATACATCACACTTTTTTTTTAGGGGGACTATTTAAACAAAGTACAGAATTTGAATATGCTGTATAACCACCACAAAAATAAAATAACAAAAAAGACTACCCCCATCCGGTTGGGGAGATTTGCCTTTTCTCTCAAAATAGTATTAGGAATGGACTAGGAACAGAGCTCAGTGGCAAAGCACTTGCCTAACGTGTGTGCAGTCCTGGGTTTGATCCCCAGCACTGCACACAAAAAACACACACCCAATCAACCAACCAATAAAAAGATATCAGGAATAATGGTTCCAAGCCTAGGTTGAATGGGTACGATTACAGCCAGAAATGAAAAGAACACGCACCCTTAAGAAAGGACCCAGTTGAGCGTGGGAAAGGGCAGAGGTGGTTCCATACAGGTTGACTAACAGGCTCTTTAGTGGAGGGATAAGTTCCTCCCGTGCCTCCTCAGTGCTCACCACACTCAGAACTCTAGTCTACCTTCCTGAGGGAAAAGCATGATACCAGTCTATACTGTCTCAACCCGCTTTATTTACAAAGAAATATACTCAACACTCAACCCGCTTTATTTACAAAGAAATTACTCAACGCTAACAGTTTAATTAATCCCACGATACTTTCCCACCTAAATCCATACTCCCCTCATCCACATTTATAAGATATTTTTCTACAACACTGCCATTTCAAGGTGCTTTTAGAACCAAACCCTCATAAACATTTAGAATTGGTGCCTGATAACTTGATTCCCTTCAGAATCCTGGGTAAAGAGCAAGTCAGGCTCCAGATTGAACTGAATGGTCCCATCCTGGCACTGAGCTGGAGAGCTGGTGGGAAACTGCCCTGGGCCCCGATTCCAGGCACTGGTTAAATCTTGGAAAGGCACTCTAGTGTCATGGGCAATGACTCGCTGTCCCTGAGAATCTTCAGTGAAAAGCTGACTCAAGGAATCCTTATCAATCTTCTCACTCTCCCAGGAAAACCCAGAAAGGAGACAAGGGCTTTGTTTCACTGATTCTGTTTTTTCTCTACTCCAGGACTCCCTGGAAGTTTGAAGACACACAGGAGCCTGCCTGTTTTCTTTGGCAGACATCTTCCTTTCCAATTTAGCTTTGTCCAAGAGCTGATGGCATTTGCCCCCAGGTACTTTGATGTCTCTCTCCAGGTCCTGATAGTTCTTAGATCCAAGAAGCCATTTCCTTTTCCTGAGAGAATCCCTCTTTCCTTCCTTTGGGTCCAGCAAACAAGAACTTTCCAAGTCCTGGGTGAAGGAAAAAGCCAGTGAAGCATCATTCTCACCAGCAGAGACAAGGGTGGCAGGTTGGGGCAAAGGCAGCAGAGTTAAAAATGGGGTTCCCAAACTGTGGTGGCCAGAAGTCTGCAAGGATAGAGGAGAAAGTGCAGTTTCCTGGATAGCTGCAGGGGTTGAAGTGGCCAAAGGAGGTGTAATGTCATTATACTTCAAGTCCTGGATCAAATGGTCTGGCTGGGTTGTATCTGTCTTGGACTTGGACTCTTTGTTGATGTGACTTTCTATGTGAGATGAAACACTCCTCTGGTTGCCACCATCTGTCATTCCTAGTAAAACAGGAGTGGACAGATATTATAATGCAAGAAAACTGCTTTGAGCAGGATTTAATTGGCTTTTTCTGCAATCAGTACCAGGCACTATTACCTAGTGCAGGGATCTTATTTAGATTCTTCAGATAACTTTGTGGCTGCTTTTAATCTCGCTGTTCTTTCCTGAACAATCTAAACCACAGATTTTATATTCCCGTACTCAAATATATGGATGTTCCCCATGACCTATACGTACATATATATACATCAGACCACAGCCTATTTTTCCAGCTCAGTTTTTGTTCATATGGTGTGCTTAATATAGGGCATATTAGAATCCCAGGAGCTTGGGAGGCTGACGCAGGAGGATTGCAAGTTCAAAGCCAACCTCAGCAACTTAGTGAGGCCATAGTCAACTTAGGTAGTAGCACATGCCCTTTGATGGTTTATACAAAGCAATCCTGAATCAGAGAAGATTCCTCCCAGTGCCCTCCAACTGGTAGGAACCCCTGCTCTATAAGCAACCTGCTCCAAGATGGCTCTCAAGTACATCTTTCCCCACTGTTGTGTCAGTGAATGCAAATATTTGTATTAAACTGAAAACAGAATCAGAAAAATATATTTGTAAAAACATGCATATACTGCTTTTCAAAAGGCAATAATTTCTTATTTTATAAATAAGTCAGCTAAGTTGGTTTCACATCTCATAAATGCTGCAACATGGAGCAATGAACATCTTCCTTTGTGCTCCCTGGATAATGAAGTGTTGCCATATGGGTCATCATACCTGGCTGCGAGGTGAAGAAGGAAGCAATGCTGGTCTGCCGAACCTCTACAGACGGACTTTTTCTTTGAGTAAAGGAAACACTAGGCTTTCTCTCTCCAGGAAAGAGTGTTAGCATTTTGGTGCCTGGTTTGATTAAATGTGTCTGAGAAGGGAAAGAAAAAGAAAAACATAACCTATTAAAAGAGCTGTCTGACAAGCTCTTTTAAAGAGAACCAAGAAACACCAGTGACAATACTGGACCCCAAAACATTTCCAAATTTGATGGAAACTATAAACAACTATAACAGATTATCTTCTTCAAAAACAGCCTGTGGAGAGCCATTCTCACACGTGACTGGGCGACTCCTGGTTTGGGTCTGAGGCGCTCTGACTAATCTGTGTCGGAGCTTTCCCGGCCCTCGCCTGATGAGAGAACCCGTCCATGTGGGGGTGTGACTGACCACTGACGCCGGGGGCCAATCACTGACCCTGAGCTTGGAGTGCACCCCCCCCACCTTCATTGGATGGAATTCTCCCCTGAATTTCTTGTTCCCCAATAAAAGGCTACTCCCTGGTGTGCTCGCTCTCTCTCTCTCCTGCTAGCCCTGAGTAATCCTTGCTGCCCTACAGGTGGTTCGAGGTTGGAGCCAGAGAGGGGAGCCATCTCGGACCTGGTCATAGAAAAAGGTAACTGAGTCTGTGTGTTTTATTTCGATCTCTGCTAGCTAACTTTTATGCCAAGAACCTCATTAATGAAACCAATGCGCTGGCCGCATGGTGGAACAGCCTACACAAGATCTCCCATTTCACATGTTCGCCAATGTGACCATTACACTCTACACTCTTCCCATCAAGTTCAGTAGTCTAGATTCCCTCACCTTGAACTTGTGATTACCTTAGCCAATAAAATATTAAAGAAGTAACACTACATGATTTTCAAAACTAGGTCATAAAAATACCATGACTTCTCCCTTGCTGTCTCGAGAAGCTCACACTTGGGACCATCCAACATGTTAGGAAGACCAAGCTGGCACACGCTCTTTAAATTTTATGAGAATCACATTCTAGATACGTAAAATAATGTGAAAAATACACAAGCCCTTATATGCTAAATATTGGGAAGATAGTAAACAAAACAGATAGTTTCTTCCCTAGGAAAGTTTACAGTTAAAAATACTCTTAAAATATTTAAATTACTATACATATGCTAAGTCGCATTAGGAAACTTCAGAAAACTACAGGTAATCAGAAAACAGACCTCAATCACCAAAGAATCTAAAAATAAATCTTTTTAACCAAGTTGGCCATACTTAGCAGGAGCTAAAGGAAGTCCCTGCCTTTTTCTCCGGTACTGAAAACCCTTCATGCATCCTGTAAGAGCTATGTGCCAGTCCCTACTAATGGCCTCCACCGTCCTCCTTCTGTGCCTCAGAGAAGGGCCCTTTTCACACCTAACCCTGCAATATTTCCACTAACCCCCAAACATTCCTAATTCCCACAGCCATATGCAATCTCTTCCTCTTCTGAACACACCACTTATACCCTAACAAAATCTTAAAATCAACATTTGATTCACACACTTTTTTATCCTATTCTCCTCATGACTTAACATTGCTTAATATACATAATGAGATGCAGTAAATATTTTAGGAAGAAGGTAGATATACAAGAAGGATAGGTTCCAGTTTCCATTTTATATACACCTACTTGCTACATTTTTCAGTGCATCAACAAAGCTGTCAGTAAACACTAAGGCTTTTCTCATACTGTGAACAAGGTTAAGATGAGCTCCTGTCACAGTAATTGATATAATGCATAAGGTCCAGAACAAAGATGGGATGGGAGGTACACCCACTGAAAATTGTGAATGTTTTCATTACAAGTAATCTAACAAGAGAAAATTATTACACTTCTTCTCTAGAACCACCTGGCACTGGTTTTCTCATCTAAACCTAATGAAAATTCAAAGGACAGAAAAGCAAATTTCTTCTAACTATATCATAACTCCTAAATTGGAGATGTGATATCTATGCCTACTACCATTACTTTAAGTCTCATAAAAGACTGCTCCCTGCAATAAAAGTTTCCTCACTTAAAGGGTGTCATGGGTCGGGCTGGGGCTGGGGCTCAGTGGTAGAGCACTTGTATAGCACATATGAGGCACTGGGTTTGATCATCAGCACCATATAAAAATAAATAAAGGTGTTAAAAAATGATGATGTCATGGG